TAAATTTATACAAATATATACACCAAAGCCATGCTTCAATTCCGACCTCCTCCAGCCACACCCTTCCACTTCAGTTATTACTCAGTTAATCTCTAGCAGGGGATTAAATCATTGATTGGGTTAAGACTCTTATAACCCAATCACTTCTCCTCTGAACTTTCTTGCATTGTCTCACACATGAGCTTTTGGGAGACACCTCATATCCAAACCATAATAAGTTGACAATAAAATGAGGACAGTCATGGAAAAAGTACCTTAGGTGAAGAAAGTGAAGTTTTCATGCTCTCCAAGGGAAGAGAGAGACTGCTTGTTCAACTTTTGATTCTTCATCAGCTGACCTAACACAAGCTGTAAAACACATAACTTGCTTAGAAATATGGAAAAATTTTATTTCTGGAAATAGGAATGTAAACACTTTGGTCTTTAGCAGTAAGTGCCAGGCAATTTTATGTTAATACAAAAGAACAAATAGAATTAGCCAATTTTTAGAATCATTCATTCAACAAGATTCTGCTAGATGCTGAGGATATCCTGGATAATGGATAATGATGAGTCAGTCATTTGTCTCTCAGCTTCATGCCAGTCTTCTCTATCCTGAGGCTGTCAAACATCTTTCCCAGGACTGCCAAATGAAAAGAACTAGAAATCAAAAGTGGGGAACATGTTGAAAAGTTATCTTAGTTTTTACTTACTTTTCCTGAGGCACTGGGGATTGAAACCAGGGCTTTGTATGCTAGGAAAGAGCTTTACTACTGAATTATATCCTGGGACATTGGTCCTTTTCAGCCTTCATATTCAAACTGAAACAGTTTTCAGACTGGAACTCACACCACTGGCTTATTCACATGGGTCTCCAATTTGTTACAATAAACATACACAATTAGATATACACATACATGTATTCTATTTCTCTGCAGATCCTAATATATATCTAGGAAGTCCGGAAATCATGCAATGCATTTTTCCCCCTGATACTGGCAATCAGAACCAAGGGTACTTTATCACCGAGCTACATCTCTACCCCTTTCATTTTTTGAGACAGGTCTTGCTAAAGTGCCCAGGCTGGCCTTGAACTTATGATCTTTCTGCCTCAGACTCCTGAGCTACTGGGATTACACACTTGCAACACCACATCCATCTCATACAATGCATTTTTACTGATTTAATAAGTTACTCATTGGGCTGGGGATATAGCTTACTGGTAGAGTATATGCCTAGTAAACACTGGGTTCAATCTCCAGTACTACACTCCCCTCCAACCAAAAAGATCAAACAAAGTTAATACGGTTTATTTCCGTAATACAAATCATTTACATTAGGTTTTATTAGATTTGTGTCTGTTACATCCCTGAAAACCCTGAAGTACCAAGTCTTAGAAACTGACATAAAAACAGAGACCTGGATTGATCTGCAAAGGATTTTGGATAATGAGTCAATTCCTAATGAACAAAATGCACTTAGCAGAAGAGAATGTATCACAATGCCCAAATCTTAATTGCAAAAGATGATTAGAAAACCTTGCAGTATCTGAAGAATTCCAGAATCTTAGACTGATATAGAGATTGTTGGTGCCAGAATCCAAGTGAGAAATGTAAATAAATGCAGTAATGAATGCATGTTTCTATAATAAATGATGCACTAGCAAAATACTTGCAAGACTCCAGTCATCTGGATATACTTTTGTAGAAACAACTCCATTTAAAATATACCTGGTAAATACCACTATAATGCTGACTAAAAAAGTTTTCTCATTTAAATTCACAATACTGAAACCTTGACCATCATGAGAAGAAAAAGGAATGTTCTATGAGGTGTGTTTAAGGAAAAAGCAGATAACCTGATCAAGTAGATAACTTATGGTTAAAGTTCTAATCATAAATAATTAAGGAGCTGTTACTATGCAGTTGGGAATAAATATATAAGACGAAGCCTGTTGCACACTGATATTGGAGTTCTGAAACCATAAGTGATGAATATTTTAAATATCTGGTGCAAATCCACTGACCTGGAGGAAATGCCTCAGGAGGGATAAGTTTTCTGCAATTTATTGTACAGTATGTGTTGGAAGGGAGAGGAGGCAGTATAGTATATCTATCTATAGCTTTGAGGGGATCTTGATTTAGGCCCAAGATAAACAATTGACAAAATCTAAGAAGCTAAGCCTTAAAAAATTTATCATTTTTAGCCAAACGTGGTAGTGCATGCCTGTAATCCCAGCATCTCAGGAGGCTAAGGCAGGGAGATCACAAGTTCAAAGCCAGCCTCAGCAAAGGTTAAGTGCCAAGTAACTCAGTGAGACCCTGTCTCTAAATAAAATACAAAAAAAGGGCTGGGGATGTGGCTCAGTGGTGGAGTGCACCTGAGTTCAATTCCTAGTACCCAAAAGAAAAAAAATTACCTGAACAGAAAAGTTTTCTCCCTCAAGAGTTAGCAAAATTAACATCAGAGAAAAATAATAAAATTTCACAGATGGCAAATATTCACAATGATTCAACAATAAGCCATTTAAGGCATTCTTACCTAAATAAAAAAAAAAAAGAAAATGTAAAGAAATGTAAATTCTATCATGGTAACCCCATCTTTATCCCTGCTCTGCCAATTCTATGTACTTTTCAGAAAACGTACTATATTGACTCAGAATCAATTCTTTAGATACAATCACAAAAGGCCTTAGTGTGAAGCTCCATAGAAATCTAGACAATATCAGATTTCAGAGCTATGTAGGTAATCTCACTGGTACATTTAATGAATGTTTATTAGCACCTGTGTAGAAGGCACAGAGAAGGATGTAAGATCTCACAAATCTGACCAAGCATCAAAGATTCATTATAGTAAAAAAGAATTGGTCAGGGAAGCAAGCCCCCAGATCATAATCATGCACCCCCCCCCCCAAAAAAAATAGACATCATAAAGTGCTTGCTGAGAGCAATTAACCAGTTTGGAAATCAATTTAATTCCAATGGATAAATCAATTTAATTCCAAACAACTCTCCCATAGCTTCCTATAAATAAGTTTCGTTCCAATAACCTTGTTAGAAAAAACTAAGTGGAATGTGGAAGATAATGTATCTCAGCCAGATTATATTTTCTAATACTTGATGATGCACTGGTAAATAAAACCCCAGCCTCAAACTTCTGTAACCAGTAAGGGCTCCAGGCTGGCTTCAGTTTAATGACAAATGAACTCCAACTTTAGTATGTACAGCACCGGTCACTAAGACAGAATTTTTTTCCCTACATGGCTTCTTTGATGTTGAACAAGGTATGAAGTTCGGGTGAAGCCTTTTCCACATGTATCACACTGATAGGGTTTCTCCCCAGTATGAATTTTTTGATGTTCAATAAGGCCTGTATTCTGAGTAAAACTTCTTTCACATTCATTACACTTATAAGACACAGGAGTTCCAACATTTTCCCACTGGCTTTCCATTCTGCCTTGACCTTCCCAGTCAGGTTCCTGAATATTTCTTTCCCCAGTGTGGATCCTCTGATGTCTCAGGAGATGGGAACTCCGCCTAAAGGCCTTGCCACACATGTTGCACTGGTATGGCTTCTCCCCGGTATGAATTCTGTGATGTTCAAGGAGGCTGCAGCTCTGGCTGAAGGTTTTTCCACAGTCATCACACTCATAGGGCTTCTCCCCAGTGTGAGTTCTCTGGTGTTTGATTAGGTCTGAGCTGTGACTAAAGGCCTTGCCACATTTTTCACACTCATATGGCTTCTCACCAGTGTGAACTCTCTGATGAATGACAAGGGCAGAGCTTCCAACGAAGGCTTTGCCACACTCCTCACATTCATAGGGCTTTTCTCCAGTGTGGATTCTTCTGTGCTTACTCAGGCCTGAACTTTGAGCAAAACTTTTTCCACATTCATGGCAAACGTGTCGCCTACTCCCTGTGGCATTTTTCTGCTTTCTGTGTAATCTGGCCTCCTGTTCACTAGCTTCTGCATATGTAGGCATTTGGGCAACATCTTCACCCTGGTGGCATGGTACCTTCCCAGGATCTTCTTCTGGATGTTCCTCAGCTAGAGGCAAATCCCCAATCTTAGTCTGCATTTCACCAGCTGAAACAACAAAGGCCAGCAACTGTTAATTGTGCTGTGCCATGGGAAGAAAGCTCTGTGATGAGTACCAGGAAACTAGCATTACAGAGGTCTATATATGCCAAGGAAGAAGACTTAAGGGCAGGAATAAGGATAGAAATAAAGAGTGCTAGGGAGGGAGACCTGAGAATGAGAATGGGGGCATTGGAAGATGGGTACAATTGGGAATGAAATGAGTGAAGAAAAGGTGGCCCAAGGACTGTGCTGCAGATACATGGGGTAGGGATGGTCTCTAAGCAGTAAGAATGGTAAGGGCAAGGCTATACATCTATTTTTTTTTTTGTGGTGCTGGGGTTGAACCCAGGACCTTGTGCATGCGAGGTAGGCACTCTACAAACTGAGCTATATCCCCAGCCCAGGGCTATACATCTAGAATTAGATACTGAAAAAACTAAGTGGATGTAACTCCATGATAGAGAACTTGCCTAGCATGTGTGAAGCACTGGGTTCAATCCTCAGCATCACATAAAAATAAATAAATAAAGGTATTGTGTTCACCTACAACTAAAAACATTAAAAAAATTAAAAAATAAAAAGCTGAGTGGAAGGCGACAATGAACAGGGTAAATGAAAGGATTTCTGAAGTGTTGAAATATCCAAAGTGGAGACTCATTAATTGCGCACTGACCAAAGACAAGGGCAATTATCTTGGAATGTGCCCTAGGTAGAGATACAGTTCCCAAATAGAACAGGCATCAGCACCAGGATATCTAAGTTGAAGCCCCAACTTGTCAGCTATAGACCTCTGACAAGTCAGGTAACCCTTCAGGATCTGAAGTCAACATCTAAGGTAGCTTCTAACTCTCCTGCTCTATGACTCATGGCCCATTTCCTGAAAAGTCTCTGCCCCCTTAGTTAGGGATAGGAACAGGAAGGGAAGGAAAAGAAATCACCCTCCCCCTCACTGCTGGGGATCAAACCCATGACCTCATGCATGCTAGGCAAACATTCTACATTTGAGCTATACCACCAGCCATATTTGTTGGCATCTCGTATAAACCAGAATTGTAGTAGAGATTCTAGTCCCTTAGTGTAACTAAACCACTGACAAGGCAGTAAAGAAGGTAAGTTAAGAAGGAATTAATAAGGGGCTGGGATTGTGGCCCAGTGGTAGAGTACTTGCCTAGCATGTATGAGGCACTGGGTTCAATTCTCAATACCACATAAAAATAAACAAATAAAATAAAGATACTGTGTCCACCTACACCTAAAAAAATTTTTTAAATCATATATATATATATATATAT